AATTAGTCACACTCCTGTACCCTACCTCATTGACTGTAGCTGCTCCTATAACCCCATCTGTAAATTCCCTATATAGATACATTTGGGTAGTCCTGCAATCCAACTAAGGAACATGTAATCTTGCCAAACAAGGACAAGGAAGACACCTTCACCCCCACACAAGGAAGGCTCAATACCTGAATAACCCTTTCAATGCACACAAGGCAAAAGGAAGCACATATCCGTAGATAACTCCAACATTTACGAGGTACAACTAGTAGACTTATCCACCATTCTCATGCTCATCAATCACATACTCAAGTACATCTCAACACTCACTCATGCTCAAATCCCAATCACAAGTCAAAACTAACCCTAAACATAATCATTACTCTCATTCACAGGTTATCATCACGTTCCACAACTTCTTAGGCTTGGTCCACATCTATTCTTCATCAAATTTTCCATTTTTCACAAATATGCACTGTGATAATCGATTATCACTTTAGATAATCGATTATCTTAGTGAAAATTACCCTGAAACCAAACTCAACATCAACACCCAAAGAATCGATTATCACTAATGAGAATCGATTATTGTCGAAACAAAATACATCCTAGACATGATTTAAGCATTCAAACACACACACCTTAACCCTAGATAACGTGAATACATACTTAACACATCATTCATACATTCAAGCATCACATACCCTTGTAAATATACTCAAACACATACAACACATCACTTGAATAATTCAAAACTAATTATTAACATGTTATACTCCAATAAAACCAATTATTCTGCATATGATTATCACCACACCCTTACCACATATATTTGCATGGAAACCCCTAAGCATCATAACTTTGTTTCCCCTTAGCATCAAACCCTTTGTTGGGATAATCCAACAAAAAAAATATATAATACATTCATAGGAAGCAATCAATACAAGTATTAGATAAATGTTTAATCATTCAGCAAGTCCCATTTTTGGATGGAAATCTCAAATTGGTCTTGTTCTTTTTCGACGTCTCAATTGAGTCCTTATTTTGTGAAAATTGCAACAATTGGGTCTTGCCGTTAAATTGGGCCCAATGGCGTTAATTTGTGGTTGACGTGACACGATGGACTGTCTTTTTAATTGACATGGTTGACACTAGTAGGGACGCCTGATTGATACGTGGATATTTAATTATTTTAAAAACAAAGAAATGGTAAGTAGGCATGAAATATTGAGATTGAGATTGAATTTTATCGAATTAGGGATTGTGACTGAGAGAAGTTGGTTATGACATTGTAGGGTTCGTGCAAAGTTCAATCGATTTCACAAATTGAGGTATCAATTTGGGAATTTAGGGTTTTATTAATTGTTGATGTTGATAGAGAGCCTCCATCAAGTGGTCGTTGGAGTCATGAGACCTTCTTTCGCTGGAATCTCGAGTCATTAGGTCAGTAAATGTTTGGTTAGGGGTCATATTTTGTCTTGTTTCACATGGTGTTCTCCTTAGAAGATGATGTGCTATGCTGCTGTGATTTTCTCCGTCATTGCCGCTCTCACCCGTTCTATTCCATTCGCCTTCAAGACCCCGCGACTAGTGAGTCCAGTTTCATTAACCGCGCTAACGACGAAGATTCTACCATCTCGCCCTATCCCATGGTCTTCCTAAACCCTCGGAATGGTGGCCATCACGACCCCGGTCTCAAGCAGAGACTTCAACAACTCATGAGTGAGGAACAGAGGAAATTGTTAAATTATTCGGATCCAACAACTATTTTTTTTATTTGATGCATGGGGTTTTGGTGCTCTGTATAATGAGTGAGGTTTAGGTGGGTTGGAGATGAATCAGAGAATGTTCTTTGTTTGGTATGAGAATGGGAGGTGTGAAGATGAAAGATGAATGACATAATCGAAGGAGAGGGATAAGTCTCCAGTGGAACTTTAGGGGAGAAGCCTAACCTGTGAAAGAAGAATCTGACCTGGAAAATCAATTTTAGCTTTTAAATTAAATAATCTGTTACATGTTTAAAATGAAATCTTGACCAAAAAAATATTAACACGTTAAAAAATAATTTCATGAATTTCCAAAGTATAAAGATACAATTAGAACAAACTTTTCTCGCAATTTTTAAAAGAACCCAAATCCATGTCAATTAAAAAGATAGTTCACCGTGCCACGCCAACCACAGATTAACGCCGTTGGGCCTAATTTAACGGGAGGGGCCCAATTGTTGCAATTTTCACAAAATAAGAATCCAATTGAGACGCCGAAAAAGAACAAGACCAATTTGAGATTCCCACCCAAAAATGGGACTTGCTGAATGATTAAACCTTAGATAAACCTTATGCCCATGCATACAAACCTTTACCTAACAATAACAACATACAACCATAATCACAATCATATAAAAATATATCAAACAAGGATTATTAATCAAAATAACAAAAGAACATATATAACATACAACAATAAACAAACAAAGGTAAACTTTCGCATACCCTGGTCAATCCTAGGGCTTTGTCTACACTCTAAAACACCACCAATCTCTAAGGTTTCTTTAATTCTTCCTCTTTTCTCCAAAAATCGCCTCTCTCTCTCTCTCCCTATCTTTCTATCTTTTTTGTTTTAGATGTAGGTTTAAAAAATGTGCAACCCTAGTTTCCCTCTCCTTTTTATCTTCTCTTATTCTATCTTTATCTTATTTTATCTATTTTTTAAAGTACCAATAACCAACCAAATATTTTAAGATTCATGTAGCCCTTATATTATTATTCAAATTTATTTTTCTTTTTTTACTTTCTACACTCCCATAACTTAATTTTTGCACTAATTAATGAGGGTAAAATGACCTTTTTAGCCTTGGGCCTAAAATACAAATTAAAACCAAAAGTTTACTTTAACTCTCTTTCTTTCTAGAATTTGGCCCAACACTATTCAATCCTAAATCAACCTTCTACCCTCAATCCATTACATCATATTAGTTACATCACCCCACACAAATCATCCAAATAACAACATACCAATCATATGTTCCTCTTAATTAATAATAACATTAATTATATTTCTAGAAAATATATAATCACCAAACATTAATTTCCAAAGAAAAATATTCAAATCTCCTAACCACATTATTCCCTAATTACCACATTTTTCTAGGGTCTTACAAATGTCTCGCCCATGTCTTCGGCTCGTGCTGAGAATAGTGCACCGATGGTCGTAGTATTAATGTTTTTACTTATTAGTCCTTGATGAGTCAGGGGAGATAGGTCTGAAGTTGCGATGAAAGACAACTCAAATCGCCTGTTATTGAGAGTTGGTTATGATGACGAAATGCAAGGAAATTATTGGTCCACCAAAAGATAATCGACTATTATTAAAAACAAGATATGAGAACGAAAATACAAGGAAACGACGTAGGTGTCTGAAAGGCCTATCCTGTTTGTGATGTTGTGTTTTTCGTTGAGATATGGTGTTATGGCTTATTGTCTATGTCTAATGTGTTTATATTGTGTTATGTAAATGATGTTATGGCTTGTTAGTCTATGTGTAATGTAATTATGTCATGTCATATATATGATAATTCTGGTAACTCACCTTTGTATTTTGTGGTTATGCTTCCACCTACAATGATCATACTTTCTTCAACGTTTTTATCTTCTTCTTCTTCTTCTTATTGGTCTATGTCTAATGTATATTGTGTTATGTAAATGATGTTATGGCTTGTTAGTTTGTGTGTAATATGATTATGTCATGTTGTATATATGATAATTCTGGTAGCTCACCTTTGTAAGTTGTGGTTATGGTTCCACCTGTAATAATCATACTTGTATAAGAGTAGATGGTGTTACAGATAAAAATAGATTGGAGTATAATATTCACACCCAATTATTTATAAATGAGTAATTTAATACCCGTTACCCATAACTCGCAGATATTAAATAGTCACGGATATCAATTATCCGTTGTAGATTTTATTTGCGAATATTTATAAGTGGAATTTTTTTGTTATCCCTAATAAATGTGGATATAAGTATTATTTAATTTTAAATTAGATATAAAATGATAATAACTTTATTCTTGCTCGTATACTGATTTTCATTATCATGTCCATCCGTTTAATATTACTAAAACATCTTTATTTTATTAAGTTATGTAACAAATTAATAATAACTTGGTTTGATTTGAAGACAATTGTTATTGTTTTTTACTTGTTTTTTAACTATACGATATTAACTTATTGTAGATATTTTTATTTAATTTTTATATAATTGTAATTCTTTTAATATTTGACATTGAAAAAATATATTATCTTAATATTGAATATAGTATCATGTTTTAGTTACTGTAATTTTTATTTTGAGTAAAAACTATTTATTAAAATTTGAAATAATAAAAGAATAAAATAATGATATACTTATCTTTCAATAAGATTAGGATAAACCAGATTTTCATAGGAACAATAATGAATTTTTAGTTAGAAAATAAGATGGAAAAAAGACAATGGTCATCTAATTATGACTATTGATTAAAAAATGATATAGTGTCATCGTATTACAAGTGGAAAAACAAAATTTTAATCAATCTTATTTTAGAAAAGGAGTCTCCACCAATTTTCTTTAGCTGGACACTAACGTTCCGCAAAATTAGACTCGTGCCTTTACACCTTTTTGCAAGGAACAAAACGCACAAATAAATTACTCAACCATTTAAATGTTTAAGAAATAAAAAACCAAAAGTTTCAAATCTCTATAAAGACTCCACCGTTAAAGATTTTGACTGTCACCCCAATCATCCCACAAACAGAGAAAAACTTTTTATTTTTTTCCCACAAAGGGTCCACAAAAACAGTACCTCCAGCTGGACATTCAAAATTTCAAATTTCAAAACCCTCTCTCTTACACACCTTTTTCCCACCCAAAAATAAAATAAAAAAAATACGTCACAGCTCATCCATTTCTCCAACCCTATTCAAAATCTAACCGTTGCAACAAAGAGCCACCAACTTTTCTATAAAAAAGAACCCTCTCACGCTTCTTACCCCATTGTCCCCACTCGAAAACCCAGAACGCTATCGTTCTATCTCTTTCAGATTCCAATTTCATTTTTTTCTTCCTTCTCTAGACAAGATGCGTGAGATCCTTCACATTCAGGGTGGCCAGTGCGGTAATCAGATCGGTGCTAAGTTCTGGGAAGTGGTTTGTGCGGAGCATGGCATCGACCCCACCGGAAGGTACGGTGGGGACTCGGAGCTGCAGCTCGAGAGGATCAATGTTTACTACAACGAGGCCAGTTGCGGCCGGTTCGTGCCGCGAGCTGTTCTCATGGACCTTGAACCCGGCACCATGGACAGCGTCCGGTCTGGACCGTACGGTCAGATCTTCAGACCCGACAACTTTGTTTTTGGGCAGTCTGGGGCAGGGAACAACTGGGCCAAGGGGCATTACACCGAGGGTGCTGAACTGATTGATTCTGTGCTGGATGTTGTGCGAAAGGAGGCGGAGAACTGTGATTGCTTGCAGGGTATGTGCTTTTATGTTTAAAGATTTAAGCTTTCTTGTGATTTGTCGGTGGATTTGAGTCTGGGTTTTTGTCCGTTGTTGGTATGATGAAGGGTGGGGGGTTCTGTGGGTGGTTTTGAAATGAGTGTGCTTGTGTTGTTTCATAGCTAGTTTTTTAGGGTTTTGTTATTGGTTTTGAGTTGGGTTTTTAGTGTAGTGTGTTCATGAGGATTTTTTGTATGTGCATGTTGCTTTTCTCATGTGGCGGCTTGGGTTGTGCTCTGTGATTGTTTTTGGAACTTTAGGAAATATTTGATTCTTGGATGATTGTAAGGCGAGTTTTTTTTTTTAATTTTTTTATTTTGTAGGTGAACCTTGAAATAGAGGTTTTTTGTGGTTTATTCCTCTTTTTAGCCAAGGATGTGTTTATTTTGAGGCTTATGTGTTTGTTGGTTGGTTATTTATTTTTTTTCTGGTTGGTTTTCGAAGTGGAATTGCTTGTGATTTTTGAAACGTGGTGTTAGTTGTATGATTTGTTAATGTTATTCCTTGGTGCAGGTTTCCAAGTATGCCACTCCCTGGGTGGTGGAACTGGATCAGGAATGGGTACCCTGTTGATTTCTAAGATAAGGGAAGAATACCCAGATAGGATGATGCTTACTTTCTCTGTTTTTCCTTCGCCTAAGGTTTCTGATACTGTGGTGGAACCCTACAATGCCACTCTCTCAGTTCACCAGCTTGTTGAAAATGCAGATGAGTGCATGGTGCTAGATAATGAAGCCTTGTACGACATTTGCTTCCGTACCCTCAAGCTAACAACTCCGAGCTGTAAGCTTTTACAATATCCACCTAACCCTGTTTACAATTAATTTTAGGCTGTGTTCTATTGTTTAACGAGAATATTGACCGTGTTGTTTTTACATTCTTGTGCAGTTGGTGACTTGAACCATTTGATCTCAGCAACCATGTCTGGGGTCACTTGTTGTTTACGGTTCCCTGGTCAACTTAACTCTGATCTGAGAAAGCTTGCGGTGAACCTCATTCCCTTCCCCCGCCTCCACTTTTTCATGGTGGGATTTGCTCCATTGACATCCCGTGGCTCTCAGCAGTACAGGGCTCTGAGTGTTCCAGAACTCACACAGCAAATGTGGGATGCCAAGAACATGATGTGCGCTGCTGACCCTCGCCATGGCCGATACCTCACTGCCTCAGCCATGTTTAGAGGCAAAATGAGTACCAAGGAGGTTGATGAACAGATGATCAATGTGCAGAACAAGAACTCCTCATACTTTGTTGAATGGATTCCCAACAATGTGAAATCCACAGTTTGTGACATTCCCCCCACAGGCTTGAAGATGGCCTCCACATTCATTGGCAACTCTACTTCTATTCAGGAAATGTTCCGCAGAGTGAGTGAGCAATTCACTGCTATGTTCAGGAGAAAGGCTTTCTTGCATTGGTACACTGGTGAAGGCATGGATGAGATGGAGTTCACTGAGGCCGAAAGCAACATGAATGATCTTGTATCGGAGTATCAACAGTACCAGGATGCCACTGCTGAGGATGATGAGTACGAGGAGGAAGATGAGGAGGAAGAGTATAATGCACATGAAATATGATTTTGATGTTAGTGTAATGCGGTGAAAACGAGAATAGCATAACATGCCGCAACTTCCTGTTGCCGGTTAATTGTTCCTTTTTGAGGGGATGGTTATGGTCCGGCTCGATCTGTTACTGTTCTATATCAAACAGGCTATGATGTTTTTGTTTCTGTTTTTATGTAACCTGTTGGTAGGGAAGAAAGACAATATAAACTGCTATTGCTTTCAGATTTTAATCCATCGTAATATCGATAATTAGTGTAACTCGTTAGCACCTTGCACGTTATATGCATATGAATGACTCTGCTGTATGAATGGGACACTATTTACTGCTGCTCCTAAAAAGGTTATTCGACCAACTCAGACTGGTTAATACTGCTGTGATAAGTTCGAAATGAATGTTGAGTTAACTTGTGGGGGGAAATTGTGGGAGCGTTTTTTTGAAGTCGTTGTCAAGTCAATTCTAATTAAAGAATACTTTATGATTAAATTCAAATTTTTGAGCTACCATGTTAAAATTTGAAATTTAGGCTACCAAAGAAAAGTTCGTCGGGTGGTAAATGTTTCTCAGAAAAAGCTTTGCGTGTTTGAATTGTATTACAGCTCTGAAATTACATCTCAACTCAGCGACCAATACTTAGCAATTTATCCTACCCTTTTGTCCTCTATTATATTTCTTTTGAAGATATTCGATATTTTGAAAGATCGATATTCTTAAAATACAGTGTTAAATGGGAGGGGGTAGGGAGACGAACCATAATTATATTATAGCAGTAGTTATTTATACCACCAAATCATAATAACATTCATTTCACTGCATGAGTGTTCTAAATTCTCAGTTTATAATTTCTCTTGTCTGAATAATGTCAGACAAGACCAGATACTTCAATATCCTGTAAAATGAGTGAAAGCATTTCTTTTAGAGACCCTTGAAATACAGTGGCACAAAGCTACTGTTGTAGAGGGTGGGATAAGAAGGGGTAATTTCTCTTCAATGGAAAGTAAACGAAAGTCGTAAGAGAAGTATGTTCATTACCAAAGAATGCCCGAGGAAATTAATTAGCATAGTTGATTGTGATATCTTCATACAACAAAATCAATGTAAGCAACATTATAGTTCATTAATAACCTTAAATTGGGCATTTTCCAAAAAACTAAGCAATCTTTAACACAGTTGGATAAACAATAGACGTCAGAAAAACCAAAAGTAAGCAATCTTTATCAAGACTGCTACAATAGAGCAAAACCTAAATACAAGACAAACTAATTTATAAACACAAGCTTCCAACCTCTTCCCTCACGAGGTTCTAATTCTTACTGTCTTGGATGGTTTTATTTACAACAATTTTGACTTTCCTATACTCAACATCTACAGGTTGCATAACAGTCTCCTCTGGCACTATTGCACGTTTATTACCAAAGATGGTCCACAAGTAAAGCACGATAAATGCTGTCAAAGCTCCACATCCAGTACCAAATATCATTGCAGCAAGAACTCTTAAGAAGCAGTCACTCCTTTGTTTAACCACCGGACTTTCAGTGCTTTTAACAAACACCTTTGGATCCAGAGGCTCTGAATGCATTGAATGTGGAAAACTCCTCAGAACAAAGCTCCATGAATAGAGAAAGCATGCTTGAGAATAATTCCCCTTCACAGAACTAAAACCCGCAAACATTTCATTCTCCTTCAACACATTTGACAAGTCAATTGAGCGCCATAGCAGTGGAACAGAAGGCCTTGATTTTCCATGCTGACTCAATCTAACTTCTAAGCGCCTAGAACTAGCTTCATAGTCAATCCAAGCATGCAAATTTTCTCCACTTGTTAAAGCCAATTTGTTACTTATTTTAGCAACAACTGAACCACCAACATTAATGGTCACATTACAAGCAGAAGAAACCCCTTTTCTACCACCCCCTGAAGCACTAAACTCAACAGCAATAACTTCAAAATTTCTATCATTTAACCCAGAAGAACTTTGATAAAACACATCACTTACAGAACCCTTTGGAACCATAACAAAAGCCAAACCATCCCCCATGTCCAGGGAGATTGAAAATGCAAAGTAAGTAGAAATTGACACTAGTTGTCTTGGCTTACCTTGAAAAAGCTTGATGGGTTTCTTGTACATGACTCTCCCAGTGTCTGAACTCCCAGAACCAGAGAAATGAATCCCAGACCCGTCATTGAACACTTTTGCATTACCATAAAGGGCCACGTTGGGCTTAAATTTCAGATCTTTACCAAATTCAGCGTAAGAAAACAAAGGAATCGGGTCAAATGCTAGGGTTTTGAAGAATAAAATGGAGAAAGTGAAGACCCTGAAGTAATTGGAAGTAGAAGGTGCTGCCATAATTGAAGTGGGTGGTTTTTGGTTTGAGATGAATGAATTAATCTTGCTGGCGTGAGACTCTAGGGTTGGTGGGTTGATCCCATTAGCATCAAAAGGTAGAATCTGTGATTTTTAGGGGCAGATTGAAGAGAAAGCAGATGAAGAAAGAAAGCAAAATTTAATACATTTTACTGGATTCTGCAACTTGGTGGTTCGCTTTTTCTGAGTGGCGGATGACCAAGGGAATATAATAAAAAGCAAGTTTTCTAAAAAATAAAACAATATTTTTGTTTTCTTTTCTTTTGCAATTTGAGGCTTTCCTTTTCCAATAATCTCCATGTGAACTCACAATCACAGCCATAAATAAGTTCGTTCATAAAAACAGGATTAATTTTTTTTTTCGTTTCTAAATTTTGGGTTCTTTATGGACCACTCCATAAGTTGTGAATGTGCTTTTAATTTCTGATCTTGGGTGTTAGGTGGTAGAAGTAGATTCCTCGTTTTATCTCGCTAATATCTATAACATTAATTTTAACATTGTATCCCTGTTAAGTTAATTAAACGTTCTTATTATAACGTATTTTATATATTTTAAATATAACAAAGATATTATTTGAATAGAAGAAAATTAAGATAAGGTAATTGATGTGACGGAGAGTACCAGAAAGAAAGTGATTTTTCACCAATAGCTTTGTTGAGTGATACAAGTATAATCGTGATTGTTTATGCATCAGCGCTTTCAGAAAATTACACATTTGTTGAGTGATAGAAGTTTATGAGTTAGAATGTACTGGTCTGGAGAAATCCTAAAGACAAGGCTCAAATAAGAAAACGGAAAAAAAACTTGAAGCAATCAGGAAAAGTTTACTTTTAGACGTACACATTAAATCTAATTCAATCCAGCAAAATCCCTTTCTAGGTTGAAGTTTGAATGCATTTATATTATAAATTAATTTTTTTAGTTGATGTACACATCTCTTTACATCAAGATATATACATCTCAAACATAAAAACTAGACATTAATAAATAATTTAATAATCATCTCACACTAAATGAAACAATATACTCAACAAATATTAGTAAAAGAAACTCTAATATGATATCATATTATAAAAACAAATAACTGTGTAATTCAAATTCAACATTAAAAAAGTTAGATAATAAAGTTGTGTAAATCTGCTTAAGTCTAACTCATTCTAAATTTTAACTTAATTTATTCAATTCTGTCAAATCTGCTTAAGTCTAACTCATTCTCATGATTATTTAAAAAGTTAGATAATAAAGTTGTGTAAATCTTACTAAATGAAAACGCAGTCATCCTATTTATGATTACTAAGACGTTATTTATGATTATTTTGCAGAAAGGAGCTGGTAATAATTTGTATTATCTTGTTAGACCCTCCACTTCACGAGACACTTTTCTGGTTTTGCGTTAGACAAGGAGAAAGTGGGGCATATGAGTGAGTTGTGGTTGTGCGTCGTGCCCACTCTGGCATGGCCTAACGAACCATCCTCACGCTTCAAACAAATCTTGTCTTCTTCCTAAACTCAACCAACAATTATGCAATGTTATTATGTTAGTTATTGTGACATTTTCTTTCACCTACACCTTTTCCTTCTTCATGTCTTTGGTGGGTGCATTTCAATTTATTTCTTAACATAAAAAAATCGGCATCATGGAACTTATTCGTATGATCAATCATGCATGTCTTTTTATAGTTATTTTGGATTAAAAAGGTTACTTGCTTTAACATCTTGCAATACCTATGCTAGCGACACACTTGGTATTAGTGCATCCAATGCTGTCATGTAATTTTATTTTGTTAAGGTAAAATATAATCGTTAGTGTAATTTTTATTAATATATATATATAGATATATTAATTTTAAATTATATAACTTGTTTGTATTTTTAGATATTATTTTAAAATATTTAAATTTAAGATAGCATTTAAAACTGTTAATTAAACAAAAAAGTGGAGTACATAATAGAAAATAACTTAAATTTAAAAAAAAATTAGACAGCATGAAGAGTTTGAAAAATTAGTTTTCATCATTGCTTTAAAAAAACAAAAATTGGCATAAAGAAACGAAAATAAACTCATGTTATATATATATATATATATATATATATATATATATAATCTTTTATTTTGTATAATGTTCTTTTATTTTGTATAATGTTCTTTTTGTCCTTTTTTTGGTACTCGTCTTTCATGGACTAATGGTAGTTTGCCTACAAAAGACACTTCCACGTCTAAGTTAGCCAGGTACATCAGATAGTAATTAATATTATGAATATGCAAGTAAATTATTTATTTCGATAAATGTACTATTTATAGGTTAATTATGAGTTTGTGTGTCTTCACATATATGGGCCTGAGTGGGCTCGTGATCCATTTACTTGATGAGTCAGTTATTTGATTAAGAATGTGCTAAGTTAAAGAATAATACGACATTAGAGTATGACATGCCATGTTGTAGAAACAAGTCGGCTTGTACTAGAGTAGGAAAAAGCCGACCTGTGGTCATGTAGGAATAGGCTGGCCTCTGGTCAGGTAGGAACTGGCCGACTTATGGTTGGATAACATTGGGTCGACTTGTGGATGGGTAACATCAGGTCAACTTGTGCCCAAGTAGGAGCCAACTAACATATGGCCAAGTAGGATCAGGCCAACTTGTGGCTGGGTAGAAACTAGTCGGCGTGTGGTTAGGTAGCATTAGGTCAGCGTGTGGTTAGGTAGGATCAGACCGACTTATGCTGAGTAGGAACTAGCCAACTTATGATCGAGTAGTATCAAGCCGACATTTGGGAATGTAAGAACTAGCTGGCTTGATGCCAAGAAGGAACTGGTCGACTTGTGGCTGGGTAGGAACTGGTCGACTTGTGGTTGGATAACATC